ACACACACACACACACACACACACACACACACACACACACACATTTCCCTTTTCCCCATGTGTCAATAAACCTCACTGCCTAGTCTGTACAAACTATTCTGTCAAAAATAAATATTTTACTTTATATTAGGACACATGTGAAAATTCAACCATTCTGACTGTGCTCATAAATTAGTTTAGGTCTTTAGGGTTTGGCATACATTTACTTTTTCCTTCCCTGTGGTGAGCAGTAAGATCATGTATGCTATAGAACTGCTGCCACAAGCTCATTATGTGGTCCTATTTCTGCATGATTAATAAAAAGGGAAACATAGACCAAAACTGGTTTTGCTCAGTTACCAGATATTTAGATATTTTGGTTTTTCAGTTAAAACATATCAGGTGAAAACAATACATTATTTCCAGTTCAATAACAGCTTGGATACAGTGTTTTTCCTACTTTCAGGATTCAGCTGTAAAAGTTAAAGCTCTGGTTGTCACCTCAAGTTCTGCAGAGAACTGTAGACTAGATGAATGACTAAGATCCCACCCATTCATCCTGAGAGTTCAATCCTGAAGCAGGTGTATGTACTCTGGTTTTATGGCTTTTAGGATTTGGATTGAATACAGTCACTTGTGGTCAGGGGTAAAGCAGTTCCAGGTTGAACTCTGGGAGGAAATTTTGCCTAGACTTGTTTTATTCAGATGTCAGATACTTTAATGGCAGTTCTATATGTTAAAGCCACTGTCTCGCTGGGCTGCACTGTTGGAGACTAGTATGCAGACAGAATTCACAAAAAAGCATCCAAAATGTCTTGCAACTATTACAGGGGTTCTCTGTTTTTTTACATGATCCACTGAGGCTAAATGTCTTGTTGCTTAAGTTTTGAACATGTTCAAAAAATTGAATGTGAGAAACTTTCTCTTTAAAATAGTTGCAAAGTTTTTTTGGGTGTTCTCATTTCAGTGTCAATAATTAAAGAGTACTGAAGCTGTATTTTCATACTTGGATGGAAGCTTTCTTTAATATACATCACTAGGCTGTGAGTGTTGGAGACTTGTTGGTGACTCAAAATTGTGAGAAATTGTCTGCTGCAGTATCACCGAATTCTACGTTTTTGTGACAACAACCTGTAAAGTTGTACGGCTACAATTTGAATGGACAGTTTTTGAAAACACTCAACTGCACAGCTTGCAAAAACATTTTAGGGCATTCACATTATTTTCATATCCTCATCTGTCAACACTGTACTTATTTTTCATACTAGTTTACCAACCTATCCACAGCATCTTGATGGCTACCTCCTTTATGAGCAAACTGAGAACACTCAGAAAACTTGGTTACATCTACAGGGTGTATCAGAAAAAATGACACTCTCAGAAAGATCGCCATAAAAATAACATTGATAGTTTTGAAAATGTGGGCATAACCTTTGGTAGATTGGATTATTCTGCTTCGAATGACACCAAAATCTTAGTTAACGCTTCACACTCCAGTGAGCAGGGAAAGTTGGAAATCAACAAAATTCGTGTCCTTTGTGCAAGGAAATATGAGGGTTAAAATACTATCTGTCACATAAAATTAAAAGCTTAGATGATGTTTTACACATATGCCAAGATGTTTTTAAAATACATAACCCTTTCATGTTCTAACATCGAAACAAAAATATCTTATTTTTGAGTGGATCATAATCAAGGGTTAACACACACATGTGAAGTGTCCATGGACAAGTCAATCCAGCCAACTAACATTACATGTACATGTACATCAGGGGTTACGTAATGTGTTGCTAGTTTTATTTAATTTAAAGTATTGTCAAACAAAACCATCTACTTAACCATTTATTTACCTACAAAAAAGAAAAGATAAAATCCTTAACTCCTGACAGAGAAACAGAAAAGTGATGCTTGAACAAAAAGTACCATTTTTTATCTCCTTCAATTAGTATTCCCTGTAACATGCCAGCTATGAGGGCTGGAAACTCTTTCCAGTGAGAGAACCACAGAGTCAAATAACTTTAGAGCACGGGAACTCATCTCCATTTATTCAAAGAACTCTCCTCTCTTCTCTCCATACAGGGGAGGAAAAACAAAACAAAAAAACTATCAGGGTCAACATGGCTACCACAAGAGTACTGCCATTTTTTTCAAAATTAAAGCACATGTGGTGGCACGATTTACCAAGAATGCAGAAACGTTGGAATAAATGTACAGAAAGTCTGTGTGTATGGTCGTCAAATGATTTAATTTGAGCAACAACAGAGCAGAAGTCAATCAGAGAAGTTGTGGCTGGCGCGTCAGTGCAGAACAGCCAATAATATAACATCCTGTGACATGCTTACAACCAATCACAGTTCGCCAACTGTGAACCATCTAACCAATCACAGGGCTGTCAGCCCTGAAACACCTTATCAGAATAAAAGAAGTCATGCATTGCTGAAGTCTTTAAGTCTGGGCCGATAGATTAAAACAGCCGAAACTAGTTATCATGAGATATGATTACTGGACAGTGTCAAGGTAGAACAGATATACATAATTGTTCCATAACACACACAATATAAAACTCTCTCGCAGGCGGCTATGAAACCTGGTGCTGAGCTTCCAGGACCGGTTTCACCTGACCA